GGCATATAATTTCCAGTCAAGGAATAAGGATGGATAATAAAAAGATAAAGACCATACAAGATTTCAAAGCCCCCAGTGCACGCCAATGCAGAATAATACACAATGTCCGTATAATTTACGAGATTTTTGATTTTTACCAATTGTATCGGGAACATTGCAGTCCGGGCTTATTTCTTACTATGATAAATTTTCAAACATGGCCCATAACAAACATATAATATATATGCATATGATATATTAATAATATTTTAATATTATATATTTCTGAAATGGTGAAATTTTAATTTACATGTAATAGTGAATGACGATAATTAAGTAATTAACTTAAATATAATGATTATGTTATTTTTATAAATAGGTAATAGAAAAACTAAATATAAAATCACAAATAAATTCATGAAATATGACAAATCTAGATAAATAAAAATTAATAAATAGGTATAAGCCAACATTTCTCGAAAATCAGAAGTACCTACACCCTACAGCACCTACCAGGTATCTGCACAAATGTACATACAATACCAACGTTTTAAATTTTGATTCTTTATGCTTTATGTTGGTAAATTATAGTTATGTTTTATAGGTATATATTGGAACAGTATTTTTTTTTTCAATTGTGAAGAGACTTAACACTTTTGGACTGTTTAATTAAAACCTAATTACCTACTGTACTACCTACTAATAGAAAAATAAATAACTAATTTTAATTATCAAAAATTATAAGATATGTCTTCAGAAAGATAAAGATTAAACTGATTAAAGACTGAAACACCGTATCCGATTAGAATCGTTTATTTTTCGTTGAATTTTAATCCTACACATCCTATTATTCATTACTCATTACGGTGATACACTATGCAGTAAATACTTAAATATAATGATTAATGATGAATTGATGAAGTACAAAATTTATTAAAGCGAGGGAATATTATTACAGTGTTTCCTGTTTTGCAGTCATCAACAAGTTTTGGGATGCAGTGTGCCTTTGTATAATCTTCCAGCATCCCTAGTGTAACTATGGTAACCCTGGATGGCTGGAAATCTAATAAAAATCAATACTTAACAATATATGTACGTACAATATATTTCACTTGCGTTAAGAACTTACATACCAACCTTAATCACACACAGTATCTGCTTAAAGTTTCAATAAATTTATTTATTTGTTTTTTTTTTATAAAACAAAATGTCAACTACATCGTTGGACATCGACGGAATGAGTAAGTTAAAAAAATGATTCATTCATGAAATAAAATGTTACGTCCAAATCAATTTAATAAATATTTTAATACCTATACCAAAATAAAAGGGTTTAAAGGTAAATAGTTTTAAATATTTTTACTAAATGGTTCAAAAAAGAAAAATAGATAATATAGGTGCAGGATGATTCATCTAGCATTACGCGCCCTTTTTCTTCAATGATGCGAATAATTTGAAATTTTACTTTTAGAATTTCTTAAATGTATTTAAATATCATGTTTTTCAATTCTTAAAATTGTTTGTAGTATTTTAGAAGTGTCTAGTGGAGAATGAAAATACAAACTTCTGGTTTTACCATATTAACTCCAACCCCTTTATTATTACTGTAAATTATTTGCCACGTGTAGTACCTAAATTTTTCGTAGTTCCAAATTCCAAATTCAAATGAGTTTTTTGAGTTATTTAGCTTTCTGTATTAAAGACAATTGGTTCATGGTAATCGGTTTGGAAGATAATGGGACTAAGGTAATTTGAACAAATTAGTTGGTAATTGATATTGTTATATTATTGATTGATACATTATTATTAATTTATGAATATTTATGGTTTTTAAAAATTATGCAAGTATAGTAAACCATTCATTACTTGATTTCATCGATTTGATATTTTTGTAGTATAATTTTTTAGGGATATTATCCAAGTATAGAATTTAAATTAAATTCAAATTATTTATGTCTAAATTTATATTTATATTTATTTAAATTATTTATGTTTTATTTAAATTAAACTTTGTTCAAAGTTTTTATATAATTTTTAAAATTATATTTTTTTTAATTCCTAATATCTTATAACAATATGATGTTATTATTTGTAATATTAGTATTTATTTTGCTGTTTACATGTGTGATTTTGTGATTACCTATATTTTGGGCGCAGTTAACAATCGCCAATTTTCTTAACTAAGAAATTACTCGTTTGAATTTAAAATTAGGTAGGTATATAAAAATGGCTGCGTACAAGTTGATTCCCATTTACCTGTTTACCTGGAGCGAAACCGTTGAGTTGATTCCCAAGTCATCAAGAGATATGGTATGACTGTATGAGTTGATTCCTGGGCCATTAAATATTTAGTCAAATACTCAACCTATTAGCGTAACCCAATAAACACCAAGAAGAGGTTGGCTGACAAGTTTCTCAAAAAATTCTTTTTAGTTTTTCAATAAAAAAATTTAGTAATTTGGTAAAAATGTATGATACATTATTTTAATTGGTATCTGGTAATGAGATTACCAGTGTATATCAGGACAACACTTCTCTCAAAAACATTACGGCCTATATTGATATACAACAATATAAGTACGAGACTTACCAAATAATGACCCAGGAATCAACTAATACATAAAATTGGTCTCGGAAATCAACTCACTGCGATAATAATTTTTAAATAAAAAAAAAGGTGGTTAAGTCGTGGATGTTGCTCTGCAGTACAGTAGGTTACAAGTGGGTTACTGTAATGGATGGAATTAAATTTGAATCCAATGATATTATATCATTGTATACGAAAAACGATTCTGAGC